ACTCAGTGGAGGGCAGCCCTGAGCAGTTTTTCCATCTGATCAAAGGGACAAGCCCATCTCCCTTCACAAATCATCAGATAGCTTTGAGCATCAAATAGCCCAGTGGATGGGAAGTACTTAAGGAATGTGTATTCCTGTCCCTCTATTCCACAGGAAGAGCCATGAGAGTCTCAGAATTGGGAGTGAAAATATCATCTGGTTCAGTGTCAGTAGGGTGCAAGGATCTGCTCAAGGGGCATTTTGTTCACAGCAGAGCCGCAGGATCCCATGGGCTGCAGGGGCCAGTTGTTTAAGCAGACGTGGGCTTCCTGGGCACCAGTCCCAGCTCTTTTACCCCACTCCCAATGTGCCTGCAGCCCTTCCCTTTGAGGCCCAGGCTCTAAGCCTATCCCCAGCTGTGCCTTCTCTCGGTCTCTCTCTCCTGCAGACATCACTGTTCTGAGGCAGCAGGTGGAGGCTTTACAGACACAGGTACAACGCCTCCAGCATGACTTCTCTCAATATAAGAAAGGTGAGTTCCTGGAGCTGAACCTGAGCCAGGCCCTGAGGCCAAGCCCCAGACTGGGCCTGCACCTTGGTTTGGAGTAGGCTGGGCCTAGGCCTAGGATTGTAATGAGTTGGAGCCATGTTTAGGGCTTGACCTACGACTGGTGTGGAGCTAAGCATAGGGGTAGGAGAGAGCACTGCAGCCACATGTCCCAGGACCTGGAAGTAGATGCAAGGGACAATATCAGGATATGGCCGCTATCACCAGTTTAGTGGGCTAGAGGAAGCATGGTTGAGGCTATCAGTCTCCAGAACACCCCTAATATCACAGCCACCTGTCACTTCAGTCAGATCAATGCCCTGAATCCAGTGTAGTTCAGCACATCTTCACCCCTGCCAACACTGTACGGGTCCCCATGACAGACATGGGACACCCAACTACCCAGGAAGCATATCTGATCTCTGTGTGGCCAGATGTACAAGTGCCCAGAGATGCTTCTGCTCAGTCCACAGGAGGCAAGACTCCAGACACTGCTGTGAGAGGGGGCTGGGATGCTGTCCATGGGGCTCAAGGCTTGTGGGGGCTTTACCTTGGCATGCCCTGAGTCTGGCAGAGGACAAGCTACCTCTTGGCTTCAATCGGTGCTGGGTAATCCTTGCCCCTCCCTGGGTGTAAACTTAGAGATCCTTCCCTAACTCTGGAATGCTGAGCAGTCACAGGCCTGCAGGGGCACAGGCCCGAGTGCCCTGTGCCTTTGGGAATCTCCACCTCAGTTCCTTATTGCCCCTCCTCCTCTTCTGCTCTCTGTGACATCATTCAACAAATCTCATTGATTAAAAAAAAAAGAACAGTTTTCTGAAGGAGGAAAGCATAAAGGGCTTGACTGGGTGAGACATGGGGTTGGCTCCTAATTACCTAAGCCAACGTAGTACCTAAGTACCAAGGATGAGAGGAGTTTCAAGCACTTTGTATGTCTTCCTTCATCCACATATACATATATATATTCAGTCACTCTTATGCACACTGATGCACACACAGGACAACTTGTGCACATGCACCTGCCACACACCTGTACTTACATATCATCACTCACTCATGCCATCTACATACATGAGCACACACATATATGCAGGTACATAGAAGTACATAGAAAATATTCACACACATCCAGAAGGACCTTAAGTACTCCCAAACTTCAGATAGACAAATGGACATGTGCATGTATGCACATATGTACCCATTCAGATGCCTGGACATAAGCCCAGTAATGGCACATGAACTCTTGCACTGACCTTGTCCAGGTCTGCTCTGAGTACCATCCTGAGCTTGTGGAGAATCTGCCCCCTGAGACCTACAGAAGCTACTCAGAGGAGAAGGGAAGTGGGTCAGGGTGCAGCCTGGGCACCTAACCAGCCCTGTCATGCTGGGGCACAGCCTTCTCTGGAGCCCTGAAAATTTCCATGCATGAGCCCTGAAATCAAAAGGGTGGAGAATGAGATGGAATAAAAATAGATAGTTGACATTTCACACAGGTGATGCTTTTATAAAGTGTATCCCCACTTTAGAAATTAGGAATTGGAAAACCTGAAAGGAGATGTGACAATCCTTGTCTCACCTAGACCATCATTGCTAGGTTGGAGCTGAACAGCTGGCTTGATTGACAGACAGAGTTCTGTCCAGCACTGCTCCCGCCCCTGCCACCACTCCCCCAGCACACCTTCATTGTCTCACCCAGTGCTCTAGGGGAGGATGACTGGCGAGGCCCCACCCACGTGTACAGCGAGAGGGCAGCATCCGGCTGTACCCAGTGCAGAGGTCAGCACATCTTGCTCTCAGAAGGCCTACCCTCTCCTCTCCATTCCCTCACCCCGCACACAGCACAGACCCTCTCTGACAACCCCACACTCCCTTGTTATGAACGGGTCAGAGTGAGATCCCAATGAGCCCTGCATTGTGTTGTCCCTACTCACAGAGGCTTCTCCAGCCTGCACGGTGCCCTTTCCCTGGGACAGTCAGTTCAAGTCTACCCAGTAACTGGAAAACAGATTCTGTCAGACAATGTGGGGTGTGTTATAAAGAGCGTGTCTAAGTTTAGGGTCAGATCAAACAAGGTTAGTCCCTAATTCTACATTTGATAATGACGCGGTGTTAGGCCTCTCACTTAACTTCTCTGAGTCTAGTGTTCTCATCTGTAACTAGAGACCCTAGTACCACCTCACAGGGCGCGTCTTGGAGCTGGGGCTGCTCTGGAACTAACTGTCCCGCTATTGTTCTATCTGTTGCCATGATACCTGATATAGGAGGCCTGGGGGCTCGAGTTGGAGCACAGGGTCTCAGAGCCCCTAAGCTCTGAGCAGGTGCTGCCAGAATTCCAACCTGACTCTTCTCTTCTCCTAGTGGAGATGTTCCCTGATGGCCGAAGTGTTGGAGAGAAGGTCTTCAAGACAGGAGGCTTTGAAAAAACTTTTGCAGATGCACAGCAGATATGCACACAGGCTGGGGGACAGCTGGCCTCCCCACGCTCTGCTGCCGAGAATGAGGCTGTGCGACAGCTGGCCTCAGCTCATAACAAGGCTGCATACCTCAGCATGACTGATGCCAGGACAGAGGGCACGTTCATCTACCCCACAGGGGAGCCCCTTGTCTACTCAAACTGGGGCCCAGGAGAGCCCAACAATGATGGTAATGCAGAGCACTGTGTGGAGATCTACACCAATGGCAAGTGGAATGACAAGAACTGCGGAGAGCAACGCCTTGTGATCTGCGAGTTCTGAGCCACCTGGGGTGGGCAGGGCAGTTTTGACCCAGGAGCGTGGCCATCGAGTTTGGGCCCAGACCTGTGCACTGCCTACATCACAATAAAAAGCTGACATCTCTGCTGCTCTATACTTCTCCATTGAGCTGTGAGACTAGGCCAGAGGTAGGGCTCCTGTGGAATGCCTCTCTCAGAATAAATATAAAACTAGCTTCACACACTGGCAGACCTGTCAGAGGAAGAAGGATCAGCCTGCTTTCCCAGATGCAAAGAATCAAGTTAGGTCTCTAGCACGTCCCCATTGCAAAATCCAATGGCCCCTCCTCAGCCCTCCTCCTCCTTGAACTATCAGCCACATTTGACCCAGCTAGTAGCTCCCTCTTCCGTCACTCCTCCTCTTGGCTTCCAGGACAACCTTGCTGGCTTTTATCTTGTGGCTGCTCCTTCTTGGCCCGTTTTGCTAGTCCCTCCTTCTCTTCTTGACCACTTAATGGCGATGTGCTCGAGCCTTCACTCTCCATCCTCTTCTCTTCTTACCTCACTACAGGGGTGACCTCTTTCGGTCCATGGTTTCAGGTTCCTTCTACTGATGGCCTGCAGATGAATATCCCTGTTCAGAACCTCTCCCTGAGCCTCAGACTTTTCTAGGCAATGCAAGCTGGAGCTCCAGCTCTGGGAGGCCTCAGTAGCTGCCTCTTGCTTCAAGGCCTGAGCTCTGAAAGCTGCACAGCAGAGTGGGATGACCTGGCAGGTCACCTGCCTCCCTAGGCATACTGCATAGCCTTATAACCAGTAGAGTCCTCCTCATCCTCACACACTCAGGGTCCCTTTCTACCCATGTCAATATGGCTTTCTCTTGGTTCATGGGAGGGAGTACCATCTTCACAATCCTAATTATATCTGAACTGTCAGGCACAGAGGGTGTCCAGCTGTGCTCAAATCCCTCTCCAACCATTCTCTTGCCTGGCAGTTCCAGGAGTGTTTTTCCCCCCAATCTGCCGCAGCGATAATCGAGTTGGATCCTCCTCCTCATTTTACAGATATGGAAACCAAGGCACAGAGAGGGTAGGGGACTTGCACAAGACCATAGGTGGTGCCAGTGCTGCAGCTCTGTCATGAAAATGGTCATCTGACCCCAAAGTTTGTACTTTTGGCCGGTAAAATTTTAAGCTAAATGTTTTTGTATATTAGCTGATTTTATTGAAATACTGCTGCAGAAATGATTTGAATGGCACCTGCGCTTAAGAAATTGGAAAGACACCTGGATGAACTACAGGCTTATAGGAGAGGGTAACATATGCGCCTCCCCCAGACAAGAAACCAAGACTCTTTCCTTTGTTCCTAGGGACCAGGAGGACTGCCCTTTGTGGCCCCTCCTGAATGGGACCCGCAAGTCCTAGCCCTCTTCCCAATGCCCCTGCAGCTACACCTCATATACAAGAAAGCATATCTGCAAACAAAAAGCCACACTTTCCAACAGCACATAGCTCCAGCTCTCTGCTAAGAACCTTTTCCTATTACTAAAAATAAAAATCCCCAATTTCCAGAAGCTTCTGAAATAAAAGGTTGTTATGCAATAGTGAGCAAACAGTCTTCGGTACTGAGGCCACACGTGAACATACTCAGCCAGGGAGCTTAGAAAGGACTTTTTCAATGAAAAGAAACCAAAACAAAAGAAAAAACTAACAGGATATAGTTGAAGCCCAATAGAAGCATTTTTTCTAAGAACAAAGTTATGAATGGGCTCAAGAAAGATGGGTTGCACAGGCAACACTGTGCTGTCTCCCTGCTTCTGCCTCTGTGTATCCTCACCTCTTTTCCTCCTCTACACACCACCTTCTTTGCCTTCTGGTCTCTCGAGAACCTGAGTATAGGGAATCATGTGTCATACCAAGTTCAGAAACTCTTGCTTGATATCAATTCAAAATTCCTGTAGAAATGAATCTACCTGTCTCAGATGCCCACCTCTGGTCCAGTGAACTAAACCTGGGGGGTTGACCACACAGGACAGTCTGGCCACTGGGACCCATGCAAGATCATGGTGGTCTGGGCAGGCCCTCTAAGAGTGACCACTACCCAGTCCAATACTTGCGTCCATCCTGTTTCTTGTCAAGCGGGAGGAAAGAGTGGCAGAACATGTGACTCAGCAGGAAGAACAAACATCTCCTGTGGTGTTGAAGACTGGGGATATTATTGAGATCCCACGCCCAAGCAAGGAGCTTCAGATCTACCTGCATTATGGGATCTGGTTTGCTCTCCAGCCCAGAAACAAGTAAGGAGGGTCATTTGGCCTCTGTAGACACAGCCTTAGTAAAGCAGAGCACTGAGGCAAGTAGTTCAGAAAATTCAGGTCTCAACACATTCTTGAGCACGGAGGCCTCTCCTGCACTAACATTCACGGGCTCAGGTCAACACAGATCTTACACAGTATCAGCCCCACCCCAATGGTAGAAGCTGTGGCCTCTAGTTTGGTAGCCTTTGTGCCAAGTGCACCCAGGGTTCTGTGACTCCTACATTCTTAAATGTCACGACTCTCACAATGCCAGGTGACATCAAGGGAGCAGATTGGGACCCTTCCCTGTTTGGAAGGTGACAACCATAGGAATTTTATAGGGAAGTCCCTGGTCATTTATATAGTATATTCTTAAATTACTTCCTGGTTCTCAACCCTCCTACCACTAAACCAGCCCACATCCCAAAATGAACAGACAGTGGGGAGCCCCCTGAAGTTTGCTCTTTTAGGATTCTACCTTTGTTCTGAATTCCCTTGATGTAAAACTCTGACAGCTAAGTTGCTTAAGTTTAGGGCCTTCTCAATTACTCTTACCTTCCGGATGTGCTTACTTCAAGTTTAATGGTGTGCTTGACCTTTTCAAGTTAGCTTTGCTTTATATGCTAGAGCCAAGAAACCAGGTATCTATTAGAGGGAACAAAATATTCATTTATAAGTCAAATATATATCTAGGCACCAGGTACAGATCATGCTCTCATAGATGCTACAGCACTACATGTCCCTAGAGAGAAGGTGTAGAATTGTGTTCCTGCACACAATAGAGGTGATCAACAAGTAGATTTGGAATGAGTGGATGCTTAGAGAATCTTTTAACTGGGAGAATAGAGGAGCTCCATCTCTTGTGCAATCACCAAGCTGCTCAGAGACCAAGACACTCATTATTGTTCAATCTAATTGTTACTATTTGGCCTGTAGATGGCTAATAGCAGGTATCTTGTGGTACATTTTACTATTTTTTGTCAGTATTTCAATAAGAGGCCTTATGAAGGCAGGCCTGCAATCTGTGTCACTTCTGGGTGGGAGCAGGTAAGGGCCATTGCACATTTCTGAAATGACCTTTTTTCTGCTGCCATGGTGATAAGCAGAAGCATTGGTGGGTACAAAGTTATTGTAGAATCCAGCATTCTGGAAACCGGAGCAAATGCATGAAAAACAACTTTTTTGGAGATCCCTTGCATGATCACTGTACCTTGAGTGAGATGTGTGGGTTGTCATGCTGCATATGTAGCCCATCCTTATTAGGTAAATTTTGAATATTAACCTATTTGTCTTCCATTTACTTAAGCAATACAGTCTCTCAGGCTGCCTGGCTCAAACAACTTTGAGCCACAGTGGGACCAAGTAGGGCCCTCCTGGATCAAAATGGTACTGTCCATATTTATTTAGTAAGTAAATAGAGTGAATAAATGAAAGAGTTGAGTGAATGAAATCCTTAATTGCTACTTCTAAATCTGTTTGTAGGGCTAATTTAAGTGTTTTCAAGATGCTTCCAGGCCCTTAGATCTGAAGAAATAGCACTGTGACCTCACTGCTAGCCTTTCTGTACTTTTATTAATTCTTTGAATGCTTCATTTCAGGTGTAAGTAGCTGGGGCCAAGTCAGGGCCAAAAAGTCAGATGACAACTTCAGGCCAAGCAAATCCATTATGTGACCAGAGGGCTAGATCCGAGCAGAACAGGAATAGTACCATTGGTTCTGGGTTTTGAGCAAGACTGGATGCCTGGCCTGGGCTACAGAGGGCTTGAGAGGATAGCAAGAGGATGAGATGGATGTGAAGTCCCCAGAAAGTCAATCTCCCAAAAGAGTGAGGCTGTGAAGATCTCATCAGGAGTTTTAATGAAAAGCATCCTAAAACAGTCAGAAAAGTTACTTTAAAAAGCATAATGAGGGTCAGCCAAGTGGCTCCGTTGGTTAAGAGCTCACTCGAGAGTGTGAGATCTAAGCAACACTGGTTCGATTCCCGACCTGTGCTGAGCTGCCATTCAGGTGCCAACAGGTGGCAGGATGGCTCAGCTATAAGAATAAAAAAAAGCATAATGAGAATGGACTTGGCCATCTTATGTTAAAGGGTTTTATAAAACTAACATAATCACAATAATGTATTACTGACACAGAAATAGACAGTTCACTGTAAAAGCCACCCAAATTTGGCTCACATATGTATATGTAAAATACATATCTATATGCATGATAAAAATAGATTCCCAAGGTTATAGAAAAATAATGAATTGTTCAATTAATAATGACAGTTAAATGGCTAGGCATTTAGAGGAAAAATACATTCAGATTCTTTTTGTTACATATAAAATTCAAAATCAGAAGAAAATACATGTAATGATTTATGAAGCCTTGGAGAGAATAGCTACCAAAGAATGATATCAGAGAAGAAGACCCAAAACAATAATATTGATACATTTGACTATGCACACACACACAAAACCGTGTAAAACTTCTCTGCCAAAAAGTAAAACAGCATAAGATGAGAATTAAAATGCTCATTTATTTGCAAAGTACGTAATGGATAAATCAACAAGAAAATGATGAATATCTAAGGAAAATTGGGATAAGCATGAGAAGAAAAATTTATAAGAAATACCGATGGCCAATAGTATTGAAAGATGAAAAATGTTCAGTCTTAATAGTAATCAAGAAACTCAAGTTAAATAGGAATAAATATCCAAAAATCTATGGGCTAGAGTTAAAGCTATTTTCAAAGAAAATATACTTTACTTTTGTTATTTAAAATTTAAAAATAAAATAAAAGCCTTGGGGGCCAGCCGAGTGGGTCAGTTGGTTAAGAACGGGAGCTCTGAGCAACAGGGTTGCCAGTTC